GAGTCAGTCAGCCGATGATGATGAGGAGTTGCTAATCGAAGTAAAGGAATGCATGATTTCTGCGCTCAATCTGCTGTTGTCACTTTTCTAAAGAATACAAAAATATATATATGTAGATATATAAATAGCGGTTTGATCAGTTGAAAATACACCTTGGCTGCCGTATCTTGCCTTTTGCCGTTACACATTGAGAACCAACAAACCAGCTCCTGCTTTCTAAGATACAAAAAAGCCTTCCAGACAGGTTGACAAATGTTGTACTGTGAAAGTCTTACATATAATGAAAACACTTTGTAGGAAACTTAATGGGCACGATCGTAATCATCATTTGTCAGTGAGATGTTTCATACTCTGTGTTCACTTTTATCAATCCTTTTGAACTTTGTGCGCTCATCCTATCACTCTCTAGACTAAAGTGCTACTAATAGGGTGCGTGTCTTCGCCCATAGAGTAGATTTTTGTTAGAAAGCAAAATTTTGACATTTTTTGGTCTACGGAAAATATACATCGTTCCAAATTGGACAGAGACATCATACAGAGAAGTAATCGGTCAGTCAGTGGTGAAGCTCTGCATATGAATATGTAGTCTGCAACATCACACTGAACCTCGCCTGGTTTAGTGGCCGGTCCGAAGGCCGGGTAAAGAGGGAGGGTTTGGCATAGGGTTAGCGACCCTACTCCACAGAACTAGTCAAACTGCTACAGAAACTTCAATGCACAAGAGAAATACTAAAAATACAAAAATTATTCTTCGCTGGAATCGGAAAGGCGAAATGACACAGGGGGATGGCTGGTGAAAGCCAGCCAGCAGATGTGTCTTCTCTCGATGGAAGCAAGAATAAGAATGAGGACGTGGAATGTGCGTACAATGTACGAGGCTGGCTGGGAAGGCTACCCATCTAGCCAACGAAGTCAGAAGATATGATATAGCAGTCCTGGGAATCCGTTAGAGCAAATGGAATGAATGTGGACTGTCAAAATTGTCAACTGGTTTGTCAGTAATTTACTCCGGTCTGGTCATCCACGAAGATGACAACCACGAGCACACTGAGGCAGTGAGTGCCTATCATGAAGTTACTAGTGGCAGCCAGAGCCCTAATGCTTTGGGAACCAATTTCCTCCTGCAGGATCATGACAACAAGATTCCACTAAAAAGAAAGGAAGGAAAGTCACAAGTATCCAGTGCTAGGCATAGTGCTACAAACAACGCGGAACAACAGAAGAAGGAAGAAGTTTACAGACAACTACAAACAGTAATGGACAATATCCTGAATGATGACACCAAAGTCCTTATGGGTGATATGGATGTCAAACTGGAAGCATATAAAACACGAAGAGAACTCATCATGGGTCGACAGGCTGTCGCTCAGTGAAATGAAAGAGATTATTATTATTATTATTATTGCTCCCTTGGGTTCCTAGTGGAACATAGGGCTTCAACTGCACGTCTCCATTTTCTTCTGTCTTCTGCTATACTTTTCGCCTGCATCCATGTTAATCCATATTCTTTCAACTCCTCTTCACACGATCTCCTCCATGTCACCCTTGGACGTCCCACACGCCGCTTCCCTTTCGGGTTCCACTCGAGGGCTTGGCGCGCGATGTCACCCAGCGGTCTCCTCAGCGAGTGTCCGATCCATCTCCACTTTCTCCTGCATATTTGTTGGGCGATTGGTTCTTGCTTTGTTTGTTCCCATAATTCCTTGTTGGTGATTCTTTCCGGCCATCTGATCTTCAGTATTGAGCGAAGACAGTTGTTAATAAAGGTCTGCAGCCTTTTGGAAATATTCTTTGTGACCCGCCAAGTTTCTGATCCGTATAGAAGAACTGACTTTACGTTTGTATTGAAAATCCGAATTTTGTTGTTGATGCTGAGTGACGAAGATTTCCAGATTGATTTCAGGCTGATGAATGTGTTTCTCGCCTTCCCGATTCTCGATTTGACATCCTCGTCCGCTCCTCCTGTAGTTGAGACAATGCTCCCTAGATAAGTGAATGAAGTAACCTCTTTCAAATCCCTCCCGTTGATGGTGATTGACGTTGGATGTTGTTGCTGTTGTTGGTTGGTTATTTTCATAACCTCCGTCTTGTCTATGTTTACCTGGAGTCCTGTCTTCGCCGGCTGCTTCTTCGACCAGTTTGTCGGTTTTCGCTTGTAAGTCTTCGATTGTGTGTGACATCAAACATAAATCATCCACGCGCGAAATCCAGGTCTTCTAGGTTCTTCACGTCGGTCCAGGATATTCCTGTCTTCTCGTTTCCCACAGTCTGACGCATAATCCAGTCAGTCCACCACAATTAGGAATATCATTGGTGATAGTAAGCACCCTTGTCTGACTCCTGTGTTTACTCCAAACGCCTCGCTGAGTCTTCCGTTGTGGATCACTTGGCAGGTGCCGTTGTCGTACAGCTGTTGAATAAGGTTGATGAATATTTGGGGTACGCCATAGTACTCGAGTAATTTCCAAATTACTTCACGATCAACGCTGTCGAAGGCCTTCTCAAAGTCTATAAAGTTGAGGTAGAGGTTTGATTGCCATTCCATGCTTTGTTCTGTGATGATGATGCGTAGAGTTGCAATTTGGTCAGTACATGATTTGCCTTTCCTGAATCCAGCTTGTTCTGGTCGGAGTTCTGTCTCCAGTGCGTCCTTTAATCTCTCCAGGATGATGCGACTCAGGATTTTACTTGGCGTCGATAGGAGCATGATTCCTCGCCAGTTCTTGCAGAGTGAGGCCTAAGTCGCCCTTCTTTGGTAGTTTCACGAGGTAACCTTTCCTCCAGTCAGTAGGCACCTTTCCCTCCTTCCAGACCTTTTGCAATAATGGAGTCAGCATGTCTGCTGTCGTCTCTGGGTCTGCTTTCAGTGCTTCAGGGGGTATTCCATCTGGTCCGGCTGTTTTTCCAGCTTTCAGAAGTTTGATTGCATTCAAGACTTCAGCTCTCGTTGGAGGATTGGTGTCAACTTGCAGTTGTGTGTGCGCTGTTGTTGGTATTTCTGGACGGGTTGCAGGTGATGGTCGGTTCAAGAGTCCTTTGAAGTGATCCGCCCATTGTTTAATCTGTTTTTCTTCCTTGGTAATTGGGTTCCCTTGGCTGTCTTTTATAGGTTTCGCTTGTGTTGGTCTCTTCCCGGATAGAGATTTGGTTATCTGATATAGTGTCCTCAGGTCCCTTTTGCCTGCTGCCTTTTCAGCTTCAGTAGCTAGATTGTCGTAGAATCGTCTTTTGTCCTTCCTAGCACTTTTCTTCACTTCTTTGTCCAATGCTTTGTAAGTTGAGCTCATCGTCTCCTTCTCCTGTCCGTCCTTGCATTGAATCATTTTCTCTTTCACCATTCTCCTCTCTTCTATTAATTTCCAAGTGTCCGTTGAGAGCCATTCCTTGTCTTGTCTCTTCTTTCTTCCTAGAACCGTTGAACACGTTTCGTTGAGAATCGCCTTCAGAGACTTCCAATGTTCTTCCACGCATGATTCTTCAGTGATGTCGCGTAGTGTTTCCTGCTTTGCTCTGACAGTTGCAGTGAAGGTGTCTTTTGTGGTTGTGTCCTTCAGTAATTGAGTGTTGAACTTGCATTGTGGCCTATCCCCAGCTATCCTCGAGGCTTTTAGTTTCACCTTGAAAGTCCCTTGTACTAGATAGTGGTCTGAACCCACATCTGCTCCTCTCCTTGACCTTGTGTCCAGTAGGCTCCGTCTCCACTTTCTTGAAATTGAGATGAAGTCTATTTGATTCTTGGTGTTTCCATCTGGTGAAATCCATGTCGTCTTGTGTATATCCTTGTGTTTGAACACACTACCACCAATCACCAAATCATTGAAGGCGCAGAAGTCTGAGAAGAGTTCACCATTGTCGTTCATTTCACCGAGGGCCTCACGACCCATGGTGAGTTCTCTTCCTGTGTTGTCTCCTCCCAGCTTCGCATTCATGTCGCCCATCAGGATTTTGATATCGCCATTTGGGACGTTGTCCATTATTGCTTGTAGTTGTCTGTAGAACGCCTCCTTCTTCTCTTGTTCTGAGACGTTTGTAGGCGCATAACATTGAATGACTGTAACTTTCCTTCCTTTTGAGTTGAACCTGGCTGTCATTATCCTGGAGGAGATTGGTTCCCACTGCATGAGAGCTTTGGTTGCTGTTGGTGACATCATGATGGCCACTCCCTCGGTGTGCTCATGGTTGTCCTCTAGGTGGCCGGAATAGATTACTGTCTCTCCAGTAGGTAGTTGGCACCTTCCAGTTCCGTTCCATCTGCTCTCGCAGATTCCCAACACTTCTATTCTGTACCTTCTCATTTCAGCGGCTATCTGGGCAGCCTTTCCAGTTTCGTACATTGTGCGAACATTCCAGGTACCCATCCTTACTTTTGCTTTCATCGAAAGAAGGCACATCGGCTGACTGGCTTCCCGAAGGCTTTCACCAGCCTGCGTCATTTCACTTCCCCGATTCCAGCGAAAAGTAAGGCTATTGCTTATGTTTTTAGAATTTTTAATATATTTATTCGTTGAAGTTTCTGTAGCGATTTGGTTGTTTTACAGGGGTGGAGTTGCTAGCACCACGCCCCAACCCTCCCTCTTTACCCGGGCTTGGGACCGGCGAGAAAACTAGTAAGCTAGTAGCCTAGCAAGCTAGTATCTGGCGAGGTTATCGCAGACTTCTGCGCTTTCAATGATTTTCGTGATCAGGGTAGCGTGTACAAACACAAGCACATACACAAGGCAGACATACCACAAACCAGATAGATTTCATTTCAATGTTTCTCAAGAAATTGGAGACTCATCTAGCCTGCTGAACACAGAGTTGAGTAGGGGAGAGGATGTGGTCTCAAACCATCATCATTTAATTCAGGAAACGCGCCTTCAAGGTGAAGCTGAAATCCCTCAAAACCAATGGAGATAGACCAAAATTCAAGTTCAGTTTTCAGAAAGTGAAGGACAAAACCACATGCTTATTGAACTAAACAGGAATAAAGCAGAACCAACAAGATTTTTTTTGTTTTTCACGTTGTATTACAGATAATGTTAATTCCACATGAATACTTGTAAACAATGTCAATTTAGGCTTCAATAATAAAAGCAGTAATAACAGAACGAAAATATAATCAATGAAGTTAAAACACTTTTTGAATAAACTCATGTGAATGCATCTTACATAAAAGATAAAAAAAACAATAAATAACTGAGCTAAAACAATCAAATATGATGAGTAGGTTTTGTTTACCGAATAAAACTAGAAAGACCAATATTGTGATGATGATGCGATTGGGGGGAGCGGCGTTCGGGGTGGGGTGGGTGGAAGGGTGAATGTGTCAGCTGACGAGTACAAACACATACGAAATCTGATCAAAAATTACAATATACTAATACAGTTTAAAATATATAAGTTAAAACAGACATCCTAAGACCAAAAACAGAAAAAACGCTTCCAGCACTTGGTAGGCTTCTACTACACTCCTGTGACACTGACTGGCCCCCCGGTGAATGGGAATGCCATAATGTAAAAAAAAAATAATAATCTTATCGTCATCTCATATGGAAAGTGAAGTATTAGAAGAAGAAGAAGAAGAAGAAGAAGAAACAATTAAAACGCAAGGAAATAATGCTAAACGTTTTAATCATTTACACTGTGTTTTGTTGTTTGTTTTTATGTGTGATACTAACAGCCCCAACAATTTGACGGATTATATCAATGAAACGTGAATCCCCCATAATATTGACATGTTCAGCTCCAGGCAAAATGTAATATTTTACGCCAGACCAATTTTTGCATACTTCTAAACTACGTAGACTCACGGTTCCATCACCATTACCAGGGATTAATGTTGGTACTTGATCTGGAAAGGCGCTATGAAAGAAACTAGGCGGTGAATATATCATCTGATCAGTTGTACTGATATTTGACCCATGAATACAGTAGATATCATCGATATCTGTGGGTTTTTCAAAGGCGTCAACAGTTGATTTGCTATCCAATAACATTTGATAGCCTAGAATATTACAAATGAATAGAAAACATGAATTATATATATATATATATATATATATATATATATATATATATATATATATATATATATATATATATATATATATGTATAAAGACTACCTTGTCAAGCTGTCAAAGAAGGGCGACTTACGCCTCTCAATTTGCAAGAACTGACTGGTGTGGGATAATGCTAATCTTGTCCACCCACGCCAAGTAAAATACTAAGTCGCATCATCTTGGAGAGAATGAAAGATGCACTGGATAAAGAGCTCCGTCAGCTCCACCGCCCACCCACAGGAACAAGCTGACTGGATTCAGGAAAGGCAAATCGTATGCTGATCATTATCACCGAACAAAGCATAGAATGCCTGTCAAACCTCTCTCTCTCTCTCTACCCCAAAAAATTCATCGTCGACTTCGAGAAGGCCTTCAACAGTCCAGCGTTGAGCGTGAAGTGATTTGAAAACTACTTCAACACTACAGCGTGTAGTGCCCAAGACTTCATTAACCGCATTCAACAACCGCCTGGTTATATGACAATGAGGTCATGAGTCACGTGATCCACAACGGAGAACTCAGCGAGGCGTTCGAAATGCATTCAGGTATAAGACAAGGCTGGCTAGCTATTTATCACCAATGATGTTCTTAGTTGTGGTGAACTGGATTATGCGGAAGACTGTCAGTGGAGAACGAGGAGACAGGAGTACGCTGGACCACTGCCGACAAGAAGACTCTAGAAGATCTGGATTTCGCGTGTAGATGACTTATGTCTAAAGTCACACAAACTCGAAGACATGCAGGCAGGCAAAAACCTACAAACTGGTAGAAAACGACGGTAACGAAGACAGGATTCCATCCAGGTGAACATAGAGAAGACGGAGGTGAAGATAACCACCCAACAACAACCAGCAACAATCACCGTCAACGGGAGAGATTTAACAGAGGTTACCTCCATCACTTATGCAGGCAGCCAGCATCGTTCCAACTATAGGCGGATGGTACAGATGAAGATGTTAAAATCAGTCAAAATCGGGAAGGCAAGATAGGCTTTCATCAACCTGAAACCAGTTTGGAAAACTTCTGCACTGCATAAACAACAACATTCGGATTTTCAACACCAATGTCAAGTCGGTTTTTGTATACGGATCAGAATCTTGGCGTGTCACGAAAAGGATTTCCAACAGTCTACTTCAGACTTTTATCAACAGCTGCCACCTTCGCTGGCAGGCTCCATACTGAAGATCAAATGGCCGCTCGGCCAGCCTGTCAGAAAGAATTAGAAACAAGAAACTCTGCAACAGAACTAACCAACCAAGAGCCGATTGCTCAACAAATAAGTAGCAGAAAGTGCAGATGGATTGGTCGGGCACACATTAATGAACGAGTCCGTCATATAACATTGCGCGAAATGCAGACCGTCCATCACTCGAGTGGAATCCAAATGGGAAGCGATAAGTAGGTCATAGATGTAAGGGTGACATGAAGGAGATCGTGTGAGTTGGAGGAGATGAGAAATTATGAGTAATCGTGAACCCAGCCGAAGAGGACGGCTGAAAATAGACGGAAGTGGAAATGTGTTGTGGAAGCCAGCCTTAGGCTCCACTCGGAACCCAAGGGAATAGTAATATAAAATAAATCTATGCATGATGGTGATAATGATGAGAGCGTTATCTTCTTTTTTTGAAATAAATCTTGAAACGATTAGAAGTAATTATAGTGTTATTTATGAATATGTCATTCCCTGGCGTTTTGAGTGGAACATAGGGCTGGGCTTCAAAAGCTTCAGCTTTGAAGTTTCAGCAGAGGTGGGTTTTCTTTTCTCTACAGAGTAGAGCGTCATCAGCCTTACGCCCCACCTTCTCGTCAAATAACGGGCTTGCTGCAGGCTTATAGTGGACTAGTAACCTGAAATGTATCCATCATTTAGGATGACTGAAAGGGATCTCTTCTGGATAACACTCGGGACACACACACACACACACCATAAACTTGCTGATATGCATAAACATCATTGGGAGTGAAAGTGAATTGTAGAAGTCCTGCAGTGTTAAATACGATCTGGTAATCAATCATAAATAGTTTCATGGTCTACAAAAGTGAAAGTAGGCCTACTATCTAGAAGCAGATCGACAGTGATTGGAATTGAGTGCGATGAACCAGGTAAAGTTTTAATATATGTAACTTTATTGAAATAATATAGATTTGTAGTTCAGATGGATGATTTGGAATTAGTTGTGTTCTCTGAGGAGCCAGTTGATTTGTATTTAATTGAGAAATTTTCGTCTTCATCATCTCCATCTCCTATTAGACATCCTCTTTCTTTCAGAGGAAGTTTTAGTATTTTAAATTGAACTTATTTGATGAATTCCCCTCCCCTCTCCGTCCATGAATGATGATATGCATGTATGTCGCGCCTGGCAGCAGTCATCTTCGTGACTGGTAGTCAATTCACATCTGTATTGATCATGTTATTTTATTGACTCGGAATTTGAACTTTCTTGTCATGTCACGTGACTTACTTTTGAATAGCTGGTAAATTCGGTCTATAGTAATTAATGTGTGATTGTTAATCGATGGCTGATTCACTTGATTACCAACTAGGCTTCTCTGGTAGTAATTATGGTGTCTCCTCTACTTAAAATTTCGATTTTATCCCACCAATCACCTAGCTGGTGTTCATAATTATCCACATGCATTGACTGATATGAAAGAACATATACATCATGCCTTCATATAGCCAATTTGTGGAGTTCTTGTATTCTGATTCGAAGAGAACGCCCACTCTGTTGACCGATGTAGTGTCTGTTATAGTACATACAAGGAATTTATTTTGTAAATGTTATTAATTTTACCTTCTTCTGTTGGATGACTCTTTCGATTTGCACAATATCGAATGCAGTGATTGTGCTGAATGGCTGGTTGACTGGCTTGTGTACTATATGTATTTTAAACAGTTTTAATATTCTAGCTGTTCTGTCAGAGATATTTTGCTTATATATGGTAGAATGAATTTTCTTGTAGTCTTTGATGATGGATGGATATATAACTATAGAACCTGAGAAAATGAATATTCTTTGTTCAGTGACCATCCAGTCTTTTGGAAATTCAAACTTCTCTGGGTTTCTGATGGAACAAAAGGCCTCAATTCAACCAGCACACATCTCCACAACTTCATCCCGTTCACTGCTCACACTATTTCCTCCACGTCATCCTCCTCCTCGGATGACCAGTCCATGTTTGTTTCCATTTCCGGTACCATTGACAAGCGGCTGAATCACGATGTCATCCAACAGTTTCAGAGTATGTGTGTGCCCAATAAATCCATCTGCATTTCCATCGGCATATTTTTCGAGCAATTTATTCCTGATTGGCTCGTTGTCATCCGAGTTCTTTGTTGCTAATTCTTTCTCATCAGCTGGCTATCTGATCTTCAGTATGAAGTACTTTAGTGAAGGACGCTCTCATCAAGTTTCTAACCCGCATATACCAGAAATGTCGATAATCTGAATTTTGTTCCCTATGCTGAATGCAATAAACTTCCACAGTGATTTCATACCCACGAATATATATATATATATGTGCCTTTTTTTCCCAATCCTCCCTTGGACATTCTCATCCATGCTGTCGTCGCCTGTAGTTGAAAGGATACTTCCTAGATAAGTGAAGGGAGTAACCTGTTTCAAATTTCTTCCTCTGCCAATGGTGATTGTTGCTTGCTGTTTGGTGGTTGGTTGGTTATCATCATCACCTCTGTTTTCTTTCTGTATGTCCCACCTGAATTTTTGTCGTCTTTTCTCTTTGTTCTGTCAAATTATTGATTTTTTCAGCTGTAGATCTTTGGCTTTATGTGACATTAAACATAAGTCGTTCGCAAAGTTTAAGATTTTATAAAGCCATCTTATATCGATCCATTGTATTCTTGTCTTCGCCCTCCCCCTTCAAAATGCTGTAGTGAATACTGAAAACTAGCCACTTCTTAAGTGCGTCGGTGGCAGAGCGGTTAGGACTGTCGCTGACTATGCGCACATAGTCCAGAGTTCGATCTCCGGCCGACGCACACTTGATATCACCAATGGTCGGGGCCTGCAAAATTTGGACTACTGACATCTCACATGCTGAAAATTCCATACTTGTACCAAATGTACTTTGTGGAATCAAGTCGTAATCAAAATAAAAATCATAAATAAATAAATGAAAGTTGATATAACAACTTTAGGCAATTTAAATATAGTTTAATTCAATTTTAGATATTCCCGTCGATTGATTGGACTGAAGTGCTCAGTCTCAGGTTGACGTGTCAGCTTCTTGCGCGAATGCTTCGATGATGTCTGGGTATCAAATTAGAAGCTATTGGGTGGTTAGAGACTAACAGTGGAATCCAGGACGCGCATTTCGTCCCCTTTGGGAATCGTCATTTGAACGTACCTACATTCCGCAGCGAGTGATGATGCTCCCATCGAAGAGAAAATCTAAAATTGAATTAATTAATTAATATGACCCGTTGCACAAGAGGCCTAAGGGGTCTAGTAAATAACGATTTGACGTTTGAAACTATGGGCATTGAGCCTCAGTGGGAACATCATCACTCACTGAGAAATGCAGGTACATTCAGCTGAGGAGTCCCAAATAGGATGAAATGTGCATCCTGGATTCCACTGCTAGCCACCATCCACCAATTGTATACTAATTAAATGCCCAGACATCACCGAAGCATCTGCACAAGAAGCCGACATGTCAACCTGGGACCGAGCACTTCGGTCCAATCAATCGACGGGAAAATCAAAAATTCAATTCAATAAACCAATCATGATGTTTTGTCTATAGGATAATAAGACGGTGAATATGAATTGTGCAATTAGTCATAATAGTAGTAATGATAATAATAATGGTCTATTCAATAATAAGGATGAAAATTCGGTCTGATGGGATTCAGTCTTCACCAAACAGATACGTCTAAACACACACACACACACACACATTACACTAGTTACTGACTAGTGTACAATGCCTTAAAACAAAATTTTTCCACTATATGAAGTCTTAACACAACATTAATTATTACAACACAAATAAAGAAAGCTTTATGAAAATAAGGATGTATAGTGAGCGTATAGCAAATCTCTACTTACCAACTGTATAATTGATATCAGAGAAGAAACGTTCATAATCATGAGCAGAATAATTTGTTGTCGGTGTAACAATCAATGGTTCTAAGGGTGACCAAAGACGTGGATCTGGTAAAAGGAAGGCGAGTGATGGCAATGTACGCTGAACAGGACGAAAACTCAATGGACTGCGTATAAACATACCGAAGTTATCTCCTACAAAAAAGCAAACACACACACACACAAGTACAATGATGTAGCATTTCTTTTGTATGTTATAATTTAACTTAAAATAAAACGCCGAAAATATGATTTCCAGTTAAATCCCCTTGACAACTCTGAATGACTGAGTAACTGGTTTCAATGCAGAACTTTGCACCGATATGAAGAAGCAGTTCGAGTCGCCCCACTTCACTTAACATACACAGAGCAAGAGAAGAAAGTAATAACAGATTCAAAACAGAAAGAGATATAATAAACAGAGTAGTTGTAATATGAAAGAACAATATAGTTTTGTTGGATATTATAAGTCACAAGGAGTGGGTGCATCTGCACCAGCCAGTCATATCACCAGTTGTCTCCAGTCTTCATTGGTTCTCACCATCATCCCGAGGACACCAACCAGGCAGTCAGTCAGGAAGTCTACACCTTCCTACATCACTGAATGGTTGACTTAAACTAACTGTTGTGGATTTCATTGATTGATGGTGAAGCCATATTTTGGTGTGACCACCACCACTGGTTAACTCTTTCCCAACCTGAACCATCCTATGCCAGTCAGCTAACACTGCCCATAGATCAAGAAAAGCGGTGGCTAGTAATGCATACATAACACATGTCCTAACCATCTCAGTCGATGTAACTGCTGAGTACACACACCCTTTGGTCGACAGTCAGCCACACATCACGTCTACTAAGCCAGAGAGAGCGAAACGAGCCCTCTGTATGCGTGCTGAGATTTCATCAACGATCAACCCGCTGGAGTTGGAGTTAGCTGATGCAATTTCCAAATAAGCGAAGTGGTCAACGCACTCCAATGACCACTTCACTCCCTATTTCTAAGCTAGGAGTAATCGATGTAGTCTAATCAGTCCTGTACCGTCATCTTACATTTGACAGCAGGAGAGAATCGCATGGCAAACTTTCGAAGACTGCTACTCCTCAACGGTGTTTGCATTTTGTCAGCGCTTTCATTTGAAGGACTATACCATCTGCATATTCTAAGTCAACGAGATTATTTCCTGATCTAGTAACAAGTCAATCGCTGAGTCCCTGAGGTTAATTCCACTAGAACATCTATGACGGACACCACTAATTGTCACCACAGCTTCAGATGACAACTCACCGTAAGCTCTTATCTGGCTGGCTGGCTGACTGTATAAGTTTGATTACAGTGAATGCCTTGATCAGTGAGATGCATTTTCTTGACATTCCCTTCACAGTCGAACATCACTATAGTACCTCTCGGTTGACGGAATCGAACGCCACCTTTAGGTCAAGAAATATGTCGATTATTGGACGCTAACGATAAGTATGCCCATGTTCAGTAGCAGAATCTGTCGGAGGGTGAAGATATGATCAATGTAACCTCTTCCTGGTCTAAAGCTTGCCTACCTGTCTGGTTCTTTCGTGTTTGTTCCTTCCGAATTTGATCAAATACAAAATACTATATCACAAACACAAGACGTAAAAGCTTTTGTGATTTCTTTTGGTGAATTATGGAACTAAATAAGTGTCGACATACCTTGTAGTGATTTCGATATGTTAAAAATGAATACGCATCATAAAATGCACATAATTCATGATAGTCTAAGTTATTCACAATGTATTACTGTAGACTGAGTTACGATAAAAGGATAGGATGAACGAATAACGTTTATGTAAACATATTGAATGAACAAAAAGTAGTAAGAAAGTACAGAATATGAAAGGTTAAAAAAATAAACGAGATACAATACAGCCTCGTTTTCAAGTCTCTTCTGAGTGAAGAAAAAACGAAGGTTGTACAGGATTTATGAATCCTACGAAAAACTCTGCGCAGCTTCCTTCGTCCACCTCCATTTGAGCAAGTGAGTAATGCAACAAATGTGACAGCTAGGTATATGAAATTTCCTCGACAATGGGCAATATTAGCTGACTGATATAGGCGCGATTAGGTTGGAAAAGAGTTAGCCAGTGGTGGTGGTCAAACCAAAACATAGAACTAGTCCGTGAAAGTCTTTAACAGTTAGTTTCAACCAGCCATGTGGGGAGGTGTAAACTGCCTGGCTGGTTGGCGGGGGGCGGTTCTTGGGATGCTAAGAACACCAATACCTGGAGAAAAGTGATGATATAGCTCGGAGTTGTCAATAGCGCAGATGCATGCACTCTTTGTGTAATCTGCTATATCCAATAGAACTTTAGTTCTCTTTCACATTTCTACTTATCATCATTGGTGTGAAAATCTTGTTTTTCCGTTTAGCTTTCTTTGTATGCTATACATCGACGGAGTGTTCCAAATCACGTTGCTACACTTCTGTGCAAAGCTCTATGTTTAAACCAATCAGCCAGTCAAGTAAGTGAAAATTTGTTCCAGGTGAGTTCCATATTAGTTTATTTCCTAGATATACCACGCACACAGTGAAACAGTATTATTTACTGGATGACAAGGTTTCAAACAAAATTTATTGTTCATAATCATATCAATTATAATCACACGACTTCGAAACTTGAGTTTTATAGTTTTCTTTGTTCTCTCCTATCTGTCGTCGTCGGGGAAGTAGAATTTCCCAGATGTCGGCTTGGAAAGCTTTTGAATCATTCCTATTACACGTGTTTGTAGTTGATTCGACAAATAAAGCCTCCGTTATCAATCCCTCACTCCACCCTGTTACATCAGATTCTAAAACCGTCACCTTATCCCATCATCCTACTGTATGGTTATGTGTAATTGCATGTAGTGCTACAGCTGAACTATTCTCTAGATTTCCTCTTTTATTCTGGTCAACTAATCTAGATTTTGCAAGGTTTTTATGCTCGGCTGGTCTGACTCACTGCCCCTGTTCTACAACTTTGACCTATGTATTTGACCTGAAAATCACTGCAGGGTATTAGATAAACTAAATTGTTTTGTTTTAATGGCTCCTTTGGCCGACAAAGTTTGTTTCTAATTGAGTTTGTGGGTTTGAATGCTACTTTTATTCCTGCCTGCATTGTTAAGAATTCTCCACCTTGAAGTGGTTTCCGAGGTTCCTTCCTTGTATGGAATTACCAATGATGATTTAGAGTCCTTATGGTTGGTATTGTCATTATCCTGCGCATGTTTGACATGCATGTCAGTATTATTATCACTATCACTACTATCATTATTTATCTTATTTTTACATTTTCCTACATACTTTCTGACTAGTTTATCCGCGTAATTATTAAGTTTCAAAGTTTCTCTCATATGCCTCACTTCCTGTCTTAGATTTTCCTTGGTACTTCTTAGTTTTTGTGCTCTATTACCTAAACATTTCACCAATCTTATTTTCACTGACATATGATGGGATGATCGGAAGTCCAAATATCTGTTTGAATGTGTGGGTTTTCTGTAAACACTAGTGTTTAACTTCCCATCTTCTCTCCTTTTTACTCTGCAATCTAACATTGGAAGATCCCCTTCCTGACTTTTTAATTCATAAGTGAATTGAATTGCTTCCACCTTGAAGTTAATATGTCCGAAAAATTTATCTATATCCTGTGTTCTAAGTACCGTGAATGTTTCATCTACATACCTCCACTATACTTTTGGGGTGGGGATGAACATTTCAATCGCTGTGTTTTGCCACCTACCCATGAATATATCTGCCACAACCGAGGATATTGGTGATCCCATGGCAACTCCCTCAGTTTGTTTGTATATTTTCCCTTGGAATTTAAATACTGTGGAAGTCTGGCATAGCTGCACTCCCAGTATTATATCCTTAACTGGCACTTTCGTCCTAAGTTCCAGTTCTTGGTCAGAAATCAGTTCGTTCCTGACTGCCTCTAGAGCCATATTTATTGGTATACGTGCAAGTGAAATGCACGCGAAATGCCTTAAGGAATAAATCAAATTATCACAAATATGTTTGCAGTAATTCCCAGAGAACTGTTCACCACAAATATATGCACATAGTGAATTTAAATGTTGGGTGGGTAAAGGATAATGATGCTCAGGAAGGCTCCGTGTGCTTTTGGGCGTGTGGATGATGTAGTCCTTCTAAATAAGGATACTGACCAAATGCAGAGACGGTCTTTTGAACACCACTTGAAATCTGCGAATGTTTGGCATGTGATTTTATCTTGCTGTCACATGTAAGATGATGCTACACGACTGGACTACATTGACTCCTAGGTGAGAAATAGGGAGTGAAATGGTAGAGCGTGTTGACCACTTCACTTATTTGGGAAGTTCCACCAGCCCAGCCAATACCACCAGGTTGACCACTGACGAAATCTCACCACGGATGCAAAAAGTCGGTTTCGCATACGCCAATTTACGCCATCTCTGGCTTAGTGGATGTGATATACTTACTTACTTTACTTCGGTTATCTCCTACGGGAGGATGAGCCGGCTTCATGAACGTCTCGAATCATCGCTGCCCAGGCGCGGCAATTTGTAAGAGAGTTCATGTGGTTTCATGGGAATTTGGTACGAGTGATGTCCCCAGCGTCGCTCGGCCTTTTGTTTGAGAGTGCAGCTCTAGCCTTTACACAGCCAAGTGTGACCTACAAGGCAGTAGGAGTGGAGTAAGGAGTCCACTATCCATTGGCAGCCGGTGACCGGAGTTCGGTTCATACGCCTTTTTGAATGGGGCCAGACATCCAGGACATCCAACAAGCCCTTTGTCCATACGTCTGCCGGTGAGCTCCAGTAAGCTTCATACGCCAGTCGTTGGAGGTTTGGAATCAGGGTTTAGCCATCTCCCCTAGACAGTCATCCAATGGACAGTCAACCCGGTGAGGAGCGCCAGGCATCCGCTTTTGCCCTCTCACTTTGGTGAGAAACACCTCCGCCACGTGAAGGCAGTGAGTAGGACTTCCTCAGGAGAGGCTATGTAAGACGCCCGGTCATATGGGGGCATTTCCAGAGGTGTGCGGAGGGGTGGCCAACCCGCAGCGCAAGGCACCCACCCCCGACCATCCTGAGGCTTTGGAGGCGTGGATGTGATATCCGGTCACCTGGTTGTCGACCAAAGGGCGTATATACCACTCAGCAGTCCGCTCCATCCTTCTTTATGGCTGGCTGGCTGTGAGACATGGCCATTGAAAATGGAAGACATGAAAAGCCTTGATAGCTAGCTGGCTGTCTTTCATCATAGGTGCCTGCGTTCTATCTCTCGTGTCGGGTGGTGGTGTAATATGGTGGGCAATATTGAGGTGAGACATTGGTCGAGTGCTAAGTGAGGACGAGGGGAATCAATAGACGAGGTTGTGAAGCAGTTACATCGATTGAGAAAGATGGTTAGGACATGTGTTACGCATGCCTGTGGAGTCCTAAAAAATAAACTCATCTAACTTTTACTACTATGTGAGAAATGAACACATTGTACATTACTTTGTTTTAACCAGAATCTCTCTACTTTGAACTTAACCTTGTGGTTTGAATGGAAATATAGTTCTGCTTACATCTCTCCGTCTTCTCCACCACCTCAACTACCACCAACCAATTCTACTTACCTACCTTCTATTTCAAAATTTCGCAGGAACGCCGTATTTTCACCCTACGTTACCTTGGCTGAACTCTGGTAATATTGATATTGGAGAATTAAGATTGGAGCAGTCCTCGCACAATACTTCTGGAATTTACTAAGTTAATTGTGGATTTGGACCTTATAATAACCCCAAGTAACAAATTTTAATATATCCTTCCAGTAACTTTACGGATTTGATTTTTTTTATTTCTATTCGAATTTGGGATATTAAGCTAGCAGAGTCTAAGGTCCGCCACATGCCTGCCTAGCAATCGCCTTCGTCAACAATTGGCAATGTTAGCTGACTGACACAGGATGGATTAGGTTGGGAAAGAACTAACCAGTGGTGGTGGTCAAACCAAAACATGGCTATATCAGTCAATGAAATACAAAACAATTAGGTGTAAACTTCTTGACTGGTTGGAGTCCTCGGGACAGTAAAAACCAATGAATGGTGGGGAAAATTGGCGATGATATGGCTCAAAATCCTTCTCGGGGATGACTGGCACAGATATATCCACTCCTTGTGACTTATAATATCCAATAAAACTATATTGTCCTTCCATATTGCTACTATTCTTTTTGCTTCAAATTTCCGTTTATTATCTCTTTTACTGTTTTGCATTTATTTTTTACTTTCTTGTCTGTCTTTGTGTGCTAAGTGAAGTGTGACGATTCGAACTGCTGCATAACGATGCAAAAGTTCTACGTTGAAACCAGTCAGTCAATCAAAACAGTTGACTCTGTACTGTGTTAACAAATGTTAATTTATTAATGAGCGTTAAAATGAAATGACTTCAAAGAATATGCCCATTTCGCTCTACTATTATTTATGATGTGACAATTTAAGCTCAAGTCAGAAGTTGATTCTTGTGAAATCTGAGAAAAAAGTTACTTATTTTTTAAAGTACTTTACTCTTAACTAGTGCGTTCAAGGTATGGGAAAACAGGAAGCATCACTAATGCTTATACACTCCTACACTGAATTCAGCTGATTGAAAACAGCATGAATCATGCAACTGCAGAGTTCAGAGAAGTTGAGAGAATAGTTTCTATTGTAGTTGGTATTATGTATCCATCTAATGATATCTATTTCCATTTCATTTTCAAGCATTACCAAGTTGCACACTGCGTCTTAACTAATAAAGTAATAAATTGAAAAAAATGGATGGAATGTGCATTACATGTGCGTGCATAGATTTTAAATTTATAATGCAGTATGAATGAAAAGGTTAATCGATTTATGTCACTTCGATCGACTGAGATAAAAAAGTTAATAATGTCGAATCAACATATGCGACAATTTGAAACTTCTTGTGAGATTACAGTGCATCTTGAGTGTGTGAGCATTCATACATTCTATTTATTTATATTTATAAATGGAACCAGAAACCCTTAAAAGCCAAACTGTTAACATTCTAATGCATTTAATGCGTCGATGGCACAGCGGTAGAATGCTCGCCAGCAACCATACCCCATGAGGTCTGGGGTTCGACCCCCGGCCGATGCACTCCACCTCGAATAGCCGGTATTAAGTCTGGTAAATAGGGAAGGTTGGTTGAGCATGAGGCCAGCAGCAACCCCATCCCGTAAAAATAAACACCACTGCTACCGAAACTTCAAGCCTCTAGCTTGAAGGAGCCCTACGTTCCACTGAGAACGTGAAGGAATAAAAACTTACTACCACTGGTGATAATAATGACAGTAATAATAGTAATAACAGGGCAAAGTTCAACAAGCGTCCCAAGAAATGCGAACGCACGAATGATATCGAGCCGACTAATTATAAAATGAGTATTTCACACACAAAATAGTATATATTCACAAGGAAATGCAAATAAAAACACAATAAATAGGGTATCTTTCTCTGACAAGATTTAAAAATGCGTCCCAATCATGATGATGATGAGTACCAGTTGCTAAGTTAGACCAGTTTCTGTACATGTGTATTCACCAAGGCGACTGAAGATGAGCTGTTTTTATGAATCGTTCATCTCACTTATACTCATGTGCAGTCTTTCTCCAGAAGCTCTCAGTCGAATTACTATGGTTTCCAGTAAGAGAACTGAGGACAACCACTTAATGGCAAAATGTGGATGACAAAACAAATTAAAATTAATGATCCCAAATCTAAATCTATCCTTAATCGTAACCCTAACCTTAATCCTGACTCTAACCCTAACCTAAATACTTAACCCTAATCCTAACGAGCTACTAACATATTGTCCAAACAGTACTTAGAAACGTGATCTGAATGAAATTTGCTCGTTAGTTGATGAATAGCGTTCATATTTGTGCTACAGTAATAATGACAGGTGTCGTTAGCCAACGCAGATGATTTAAAAATCTGGAGACAGCTAAAGGGCAACAGTGATACGCTCACGTTACAACAGGACCTCAATAAATTGTCAGAGTGGTCCAGGGATTGGATGCTCCCGATCAATACAGCGAAGTGTGCAACTATGCACATCGGACACGAAAGCATCAGCCTCTATAAACTAGAGGGAATAACACTCCCATTAGTTCACACTCATTTGGATTTAGGTGTCATAGTAAGTTACGATTTAAAAACTACTGCACACTGCTGCACCGTGGTTGCACATAGTCTCAGATCCTTATGGGCAATTCGCAGAGCCTTTACTAGAATCACCAGAACTCGGGAGGAACAGACAAGGGGAAATCAAGCAGGCTTTAGACCAGGTAGAGGGTGCATAGATCATATCTTCACTCTTCGACAGATTCTAGAACATAGACACACTTTTCGGCGTCCAACAATTGTCATATTTCTTGACTTGAAGGCGGCCTTCGACTCCGTGGACCGAAAGGTACTATGGCAATGTCTGACTGTGAAGGGAGTGCCAAGAAAGTACATTGCACTAATCAAGGCACTCTATTCAAACTCACGTAGTCGTGTAAGGGCTTATGGGGAATTGTCATCTGAATTGGTAACAACCAGTGGTGTCCGACAGGGATGTCCACTTTCCCCATTTCTGTTTAACTTCATCATAGATATGCTAATGGAAGTATCCTTAACTGAACGTAGTGACTTAGGAATCGACTTGTTACCAGGGAATAGTCTAATGGACTTAGAATATGCAGATGACATAGTCCTGTTAGGGGAGGATGCTGAAAAAATGCAGAGTCTTCTGAACACCTTGAGCAGCAATCTTCGTATGTTTGGCATGCGATTCGCCCCTGCAAAATGTAAGATGCTGCTACAGGACTGGACGACGTCAACCCCTAACTTAGTGATAGGGAGTGAAGTGATAGAACATGTTGACCACTTCACCTACTTGGGAAGTTGTATTAGCACCAGCGGACTGATTGGCGACGAAATCTCAGCACGGATCCGAAAAGCTCGAGCTGCTTTCGCTGACTTACACCATCTCTGGCGTAGGCGTGACATCCGGTTATCAACCAAGGGACGTGTGTACTGCTCATCAGTTCGCTCCGTCCTTCTCTATGGCTCTGAAACATGGCCAATACGCGTTGAAGACATGAAAAGGTTGACTGCTTTCGATCATAGATGTCTGCGATCTCTGTCTCACGTTAGGTGGTTTCACAAGATAAGTAATGTTGACGTTAGGCGTAGAGCGTTGGGCAAACAGGGAAAATCAATCGACGAGGTTATAAAGTTACATAGACTAAGATGGCTAGGTCACGTGGTGCGCATGCCTAACCACCGCCTCCCCCGACGGGCATTGTTAGCTGATATAGGTTCAGGTTGGAAAAGAGCCAGTGGTGGCCAAACAAAAACATGGCATCAATCCATGAAATCCTTGACAGTTAAACTGAGTCAGGTAGGGAGATGCAGACTCCCGGGTTGGGGCCCTCGGGACTCTAGGAATCAATGGCTGGAGACAATAGGTGACATGGCTCAAAATCGTTGTCAATGGCGCAGATGTATTCAATCTCTGTAATCTTTCATATTCCTTTCTACCATTACCCATTCTGTTTCACTCTTATACTTGTCACACTGTATTGATTCTCTTCACTCATCTTCTTGTCTACTTCTGTGTGCTATTTGGAAGGTGGCAACTCGAACTGCTGCACTTCGGTGCCAAGTTCTATGTTGAATCCAGACAGACAGACAGACAGAATCACCAGAGATATGTCCACCTCCTTATATACATCTCTCTCTGATGAGGTCAAGGCTAACAAACTGTATCCAGGCAGCCAGCAAGTCCTTGTCTTATAGCGGACTCACATATTCCAAAGGAAGTATGATTCTCGGCCTGACTAATTTATCATACTAGGAAGGACTAGACAGTTTAAATCTTTTCTCCCTATCATACCTTGGGCACAGAGGAGATTCAATTACAATGTTTAAAATTTCAAATAATGACTACGGACTTGACCTATTCCCTCTTTTCCTTCCCACCAGGCCAGAACATCTTATAAGAACATAGCAGGAGAGTTCAAAAGCCAAAGAGAAGCTAGATTGCTGTTGAGTACTGGTTCTCCCACTGTCATTAACTTTTGGAACTGACTCCCAGAAGAAATGGTGTCTGCAACCTCAACTGATTCTTTTAAGAAGGGTTTGGACAAGCACAGAAATTTACTAGAAGAGGATCAACATATGCTTTAAGCCTTCTATCCTCAACCAATAAATCTGACAAGTATGCGTTTTAAGTCATTGGAGCGTTTGAGCATCCCTTGGGACGCCATTGTTGAAATTCCCCAAAAACTGTTAACATGTGTTATCCTGAACACATTCTAATGCATCAACTAATACTACTATTATTACCACTGATCATAAATGTAATAATAACAGTAATGATAGTGATAACAGAAAATAATGAGGTAAATATAGTTTCATTTCTGCAAATTCTTCAAATCCTCGACTTCAAACAACAAGCAATCATAGCACTAATGGAGTGACATTACACAGGAAATTTCGGTTACGCAAATCTTTTTAAAATGACATGTAAAAAAATGGTACACAACTACTGAATGAAACAATAAACATACCACTCGCCTCAATTTTAAGAGCCTTTACGGAACCACCAAGAGGAGCACTGAGGGAAACAAATGTTTTTATATACAACCTCTTCCACGACTTCGTCATAGATTTCAAGAAGTATAAAGCGTATTTGGCACCTAAACTATGACCAACTAGAACGACTGGTTGATTTCCACCATTTTGAAATGTTTCTTCAATCAGAAGCTTCAATTTATCAACAAATTGATTATTCTCATCTAGGACCGAGGTTACGTTAAGGAAAAGAAAAACTAACTTGGAGCCTTACGAAAATCAAATGGGGCACCACGCATTGTGAAGTTTGACTTAAAAAAAGGATCAAGCCGTAACGATTCTATTATCGGCGCGCAATACTGTGTTTTGCCATGTTTATAGCTGTCTAAGTTCTCTATTGACCATGTTTCACCCCATCCAGGGAATAAAACATCTACATCCTTAGGATCTCTAGATGTTTTGGTTACTGGATCGTACACCAGGCTAGAATAGTGGTAAAGGAAAACATCAAACGTTTTCTACCCGAAGTATTCACATAATTTCCCGGGTTCTAAAAAATATCGTAGATTTATCCATACCAGGAAAGGAGGTGATGTTGTGTTCTTCAGCTTAGAATATGCTTGGCAGCCACCATCGCCCGGTATTATAACAATTGGATGTTTATCCGCATATGATTGAACTGTATTACTAAGAAGTAGGGAGACAGTGACGATTGGGATCTGTTGCAGCAGTTAGACACAAAAACTGAAAACATACAATAGAGAACCTTCGCGAACGGTCCATATAGAATGCATAACCAGTAATATTAACTAAAAATGACAATGGCCTTGAGTGTTGCGTTTAAAATAAACCAATAACTGAAAGGTTGAATGCGTGAATGGAATTATGGAATTTTGTCAGAGTGATAGTATGATTAAGTTTACTATTATTAGCTGAGTTTTGTGAAAATTCTCCTTATTTCTGTGATGTGATTTGCTATTTTGCTTCTGAAGTGATGTTTTATCATTTACTGAATATATGAAACTGTAACTAATTCACTTCTCATCCTTTCATACAGCGCTTTCACGAGCAGAAATGTCTACGATCAAGAGTCAGTCTGCATTCGGGTGAGTATATAAGCAGGCTCAGATGCCACTTATCACATTTTATTTGTGTTAATCAAGACTACCCAGGCCGTCTGTAGTTAAATGAGTCTATAAAATTTTCTGAGAAAAACTCCAACCCCTTATTAAAAACATATTACCCTTCAGAGCAAACGCGAGTAAGCTTTAGCCTGGTAATTTTCTGTTTCACAGTCAGTATCAGCAGGTTGCTTAAGTCATCAGTCAAGTTGGAACCAATCCAGGTGATACGGGAAAACAAGGCAGGCTCTAAATTTGGTGGTTCCTGTATAACTGCATCTAGTACCTTGTATTTTAATTTTTACTTCACTTCGGAACAAAGTTCTCACTTCCACAACAATCTTTCATTTTTGAGCTGCTTTTTAGTAATTCGTTATGACTCCAACTATTTTACATCGTAGCAGTTTTTTGCTATTAGGCTTTCTACTTTCTGGGCAGTTAAGTCATGTGAAATCCTAATTTGGTGCATTCATCCTCATAAGATTAAATCCAAAAACGAATATCTATTATGGTCTTCAATGAGTTCCGATAGCACCCATCAATTTCACTCACAGAAATGCAGTGCAAAATCTTTTCACGGATGTTCATCTGGTTGACTGTAAACCAGCTCGAGTGTTCCATCTCATAAGGGCGGTTAAATTCTCACTTCAACTCTGGTGTTCATACACATTAGCGACTTCAGTGATTATGATAGACTACCGGGTAACTCAACTTTACTGATATTAACTGAGATAACTTCCAGAACATCCATTACAATCAAGCCTGACACTAACGTTTCAATGATATGATGATACATTTGATGCCTACGGGAACGCGTGTTCACCATTATCAAGTGAATACGCCAGATTTGATCCTATGGCTGAAATCATTAGGCTGCAAGGAGTGTTATGTGCCATAAGGTAGAAAATGAAGTGCCAGTGGTCCCTTCGGAAATCTGGCTTATCTCAAAGGTGACAGATGCACTTCCAATGATTGAAGTGCGCTGGCCAAAATGTGGCAGGTATATTCAGGCTTCAGATTACGCCGTAGGCGCTACACTGCCAAAGCTCAGTCAAAAACACTGCAAACAACACGATGATAAACATGCATTCTGATATGAGAACATAACTTTTCCACTAATATCAGTGCGTTCTCAGCCAGATAGGTGATAGTGGAAATCGACAATGAATTACACTACGTCGGACAAAGTCAATATCTGTGATTATTATTCACCCTATTCCTTCTCTTTCAAAGTGGGACATAAGACTTCAAGTTACAGCTCTGGGCTTTTAGTATAAGTGCTTTTTTACGGAGTGGGGTTGTCAACCTTACTCCCTTCACAACTAACTAAGGGAGGTAGAGTATGAGCCCGCTGGGATCAAACCCCTTGTCACGTTAATGGTTGCCTGGCACCCTTCCACTGAAACATTGACGCGTCACCACCGCCTTTTAAATAGTTTGCTTCCTCCAAGCAACCTGGAATAGGTCCGTAAATGTGGCTTGGGCGATTGCGAATTCTGTGGAGTTGAATATATCTCTTAAGGACGTGAATGGAGATTATAGAGTCACTTCACACTGAAACTCTTTGTATGCCACCACTAACTGACTACACCATCAACTTAGTGAAAACGCCCAAAACAATGGATTTCACTGTGATTCTGATTCCAGTTTTTCATTTATGCGTATTGTCCTATAACCTTTTCTTCTGTAAGTGAGTAACTGTAAATATGCTAACTCCTCATATCTGTTATTTATCATATTGATGGCATCTGCAAAATGACATCCCTCATGTAAAGAAGCGGAGAATATATTATCCTTTGTTGCTTGATTCATACATTACGGGGACCACATCAGTGTCGGTTTTTCTGGCCGAAACGATTCCCTGAAAGCTAATCTCCTACTTTAAAATCTTGATTCATCTGACCAAAAAGTTAAAGTTGCCTTTGTCTTTAGCATAGTGAGACGTCTAAGTGGTGTGTCGTGTTCATTACGAATTTTGAACGCTTGCGCTACGGGTGTTCACTTTCTGCGTGAATCATCTTTCCTTAATATTTTGGAAATTAGCCGCTTTCATCACATTATCCAGTTATCCATAGTCAACAAGGATTGTATTGTATCAACTGGAACAACATATAGCATTCACTCGTGAAATCTACGTCAAGAATCCTCGGATACCATATCTAACTACGTGGAACTCAGGACTTTATCCACAGCAAACTCTGTAAAGGAAAGTCTGACTTTTTATTTTTGCAATATAAATCTGTTTATCGTTGTTGTTTTGATACTTCGATAATACAGCTATCTTATTTTCATATCCTCAAGACTTTTTTTCCGGAAATTGTGAAGTTTCTTATTTCTGTAATGGTTAAGTCTATCAAACGTGTAAGTACCGTTAAGAGACTGAGATCTAATACTAGTCAGCCATCTGAAGGCCTCAGCTCCGTTGACAATTCTACACTGTTTACACCAGCCATACCCAGAGTTATGGTATCTGATATCATGGAGGAATTAGCAGAGAATGCGGCTTGTAGCAAAAATGATTTACTGACACTTCAGAAGTCAATAGCAGAACTACAGAGCAAGTTTGACAGCATTATGCCTCTCACGCAACTGTGTGACCCACCACAAAACATCTGTTTTGAATCACTAATCAAATCCGAGCGCATAATTGACTATTTGGCTGAAGAAGCTGTTAAGAGGATTATGTCTTCACATAACGTCTTGGCCTATAACATTCCAGACAGAGAGCCGATTGCCAAACTTAAGAATTCGTGTCTAAAGGCTTGTAATATGTCGTTGACAGAATGTCAGGTTTTGCGTCTTCGTAAGAAATCTGCAAACCACCCGTGTCCTGTGCTTTTCAAGTTTAGGTCTACCGAAGAAGCCAGGAATTTTCTGAAATCGGGTAAGAAAATAGGCTCTTCAACACCATACACTAACATTAGGGTTGCACCTGATTTAACACCATGCCAAAGGCGATGCCGCTCAGGAACAGTGAACCCTGATAACTCTAATAGGATAACTGTAGATGATGTTCCGTGCGTTATTCCGTCTATTGAAATATCTGATCACGGCATGCAACAGACATTTTCGCAGGTAGTGGCTAATGTTAGCCAAGCATTATATAACGATATTGATGCAGACACTGAAATGGTGGACATAGATGAGTCAACGGGAAATAATGTTGAAATACATCGTTTTCACACTGACGCAAAAGTCAAGACACCGAAACCATCAAAACCCATCCCACTGGTGGTCCAACCATTGCCTTATAAGTCAGTTACTCCTCTGTCTGACAATCCACACTCTGTAAAGCACCAGTCGAATGTAGCCACCCAAGTTGGCAAGTTTTCTAGGCGTTATGACAAACGTCCCATTTCCATTAAGAAAACTAAAGCTCATGAGGTGTTCAAGCCACAGAAACCCTACATAGCATGTGCTGACTGCCCTGTTAGCCATCATCAGCCAGATAATCATAAGATAGGGGAAAAAGAAGTAAATAAATTAAATACTAAACCCGGAGCAAGAAAGCTCTTTGATAAGAAAGAGACGAAAGCACCTGTAGGCCTTCTTTGTAAGAGAAAGTCAAATATGGTAGACGAAGCTCCTAGGGGTAGGCCTAATTGGTGCCAAGTGGAAAGCCAATTTTATCGAATCCCTAATTCTAGACAAACAGCACAGCAAAGTAGTAGGTATTGTTCTGCACATCCACTACGTAAACCCCTTGTCAACCAGCCCACTTCTAATATTCTGTCTACTGAAAGTTATAGAAAATACCCCAAACATCGGCCACAGACCACATTTAGCAAGCCAACAGAACCCATTCATATATCTTATGTGTCTAGTGGGGAGCATGTGCCGATTTCTGCACAAAACTTGCCATGGTCTGATGAATACCAGAAACAGATACCAACACTTCATTCTTATACTGGCAACAAATTACCGAATACACATATCGGTTATACCTTAGGGCAGGATTTTCACCAGCGTCAGTTAACAGAAACACCTGGAATCATGCATATAGCACGCATGATATCGGATCAATTCCTTGCTGGCATAGCGAACAGTCTACAGCTAGGGCAAGGCATATTTCCCGGGAGATAGCTGACACAGTGTCGACACCAAACGCGGATACTAATATCTCTAAAATATTAATATCTGATTATCACACAGGTGTCTCTCACTGCATACCATATCCAAACGTAAGCCCATCCCTGACTACCACCTCAAAAATCTACCTGAAGTCTTCCTACGATCCAAAGATATTGGTAAATGAGTCTGATAACATGTATATAGAGGATACTCACGGATTATTTTACCAAGATGTTGTCCGCTCACTGAAACCACATAGCCAGTGTTTATCTATTATCCTAGTAAATACGAGATCAGTTCTAAGCAAACATTTAGCACTAAGTACAATAGCTTCTATATGCAGACCGTCATTGATTATGATCACCGAAGCCTGGTGCACAAGTGAAATCTCCAATGACAGCCTAAGGATTGATAAATACAACCTTTTTCGCGGGGACAGACGGACAGGTCGTGGGGGTGGAACACTAATTTACTGTGAACAATCCATGTGTGCAACCCAGTTTAGTAACCCAATTCTGTCACAACTCAATGACTCGATCTGGGTCGAAATAAAAGTTGTCAGAAGTAAACCTATACTTGTGGGTTGTGTGTACCGGCCCCCTTCATCCAGCAGGGAATATGATAATATGCTTAGCAATATCTTTAATGTTACAGCCAATCTTCCTTTCAGTT